ACTGCAAATTAGAGAATTATACACCAATTGAAGCTTACTCTGCATTTTGTAAAATAATTAATTTAGCTATAGTAAGGTCGCTTCCACTTAGCAATTCTGCATCTATCAAAAATAGTAACAATACTAGGAAATCACGAGCTTTGCCCTGGTGGAACAAAAAATGTTTAGAAGCAGTTCAGAAATCCAAATTGTCATATGTTAATTTTAAAAATAATCCTTCTGCTGAAACATATATAGAGTTCAAAAGATTACAAGCTTTAAAAAAACTTACCTTGAAAACTGAGAGAAACAATAGTTGGATTGATTTGTGTAATTCTTTTAATCGTTGTACCCCCTTGTCTCGAATTTGGAAATTAATGCGTAAATTTAACAAAACATATTCTTTCAGTAATAATAATAATGATGATTGGATTCCAGAATTTTTACAGAAATATACCCCAGATTATGTACATAATTCACCTAGTTTTCCCATAGTTGATCATTCAAATACTTCATATAACTATTTAATTAAACCCTTTTCTTTTCAAGAGTTGTTGTCTGCAATTCATTCTAGAAGGAATACAGCAACTGGTCTGGATGGCATTCCTTATTCCATGCTCAAAAAGCTCAGTGATAATAGCCTCCAAATCTTCTTATCCATTTTAAATAGTTTGTGGAGAAATAATGATATACCCGATCCATGGAAGTCTGATTGTATAGTACCCATTTTGAAACCAGATAAGCCCAAATTGAATCCAAACTCATATCGTCCAATCACTCTTACATCTTGTGTTGGAAAAATCTTTGAACAGTTGTTAAAACAAAGACTTGAGTTTTTTGTGGAACAAAATCGCATTCTACCTGCAAATCAATTTGGATTTAGAAGAGGAATGTCTGCTCGTGAAAGTATTTGCCAACTTCATCTTGATATTCAGAATAGTTTAGTTAATAAGAATTTCTTGGTATCTGTATTTTTCGATGTTTCTGGTGCCTTTAATAATATAAATATTCATGTGCTTTGTTCTGAATTGGCTTGTTTAGGAATTCCAAGTAAAATAATTCAATGGATTTATAAATTTTTGACAGAAAGGGAAGTGTATGTCAAATATAATAATAATTTATATGGTCCTAGACGTGCATCCATTGGAGTTTGTCAAGGAGGAATTCTGTCTCCCTTATTGTTTATTCTGTATATAAGACGTCTTAATTTAGTACTAGGTTCTCATGTTAAAAATTTACAGTTTGCTGATGATCTTGTAGTTTATGCATCTGGGAAAAAATTAACAGAAATTACCAACATTGTAAATAAATCTTTAGAAGGTCTTTATAATTATTTTTCTTATTTAAATCTTGATATCAATGCCCACAAATCAAACTTAGTTATATTTGGAAAAATTCATAGCTCAGCCTCCATTGTATATTATAACAAAATCCCTATCCCCATTTCTTGTGAAGCAAAGTTTTTAGGAATATCATTTACTTACAATGTGTCATGGAACAAATATGTTGAAATTATAAGTTCAAGGGCTAACAAAGCACTTAATGTTTTAAAATCATTATGCAGATCATCCTGGGGAGCTGATCCCAAAATATTATTAATACTTTATAAGTCTCTCATTCGCAGTCATTTTGAATATGGGTTTCTCTGTTTTTCTGGTGATAATAGACTGGTGGATAAACTAGAAAAAATCCAAAATAAAAGTATGAGAATTATAACAGGAGCATTTAAAAGCACACCTATAAATTCATTACAGGTTGAATGTGGATTACCTCCATTAAATATAAGATTTTCCTACTTGAAAGAAAAGTTTATTTTAAAACTTTACACAAAAAAAAATAATCACCTTTTTTTAAACTTGGTCAATTCACATATTTCAACAGAGAATCTTTACATTCTTCAGAATTTTTCCCAATTTTTAAATTATATTAATGGCTTGCAAATACATCAGTCAGAATTGCTACCTTGTTATCAGGGACAATTTGAGAGTAAATTCCCAGCAATAAATATTTTCATTGATCATAAATTATCTTGTAAGCAAGATGTTTATAATAAATTTTCTGAGTTTTCTGGTCATCGGTTCTTATATACAGATGGTTCAAAAACAGAATCAGCAGTCTCTTTTGCAATTTTTGATGAGCAATTGAAGTTAGGTACAGGTTACAAAATTAATTCCAACACAAGCATATTTACAGCCGAGGCTCTGGCTATTCTTGCAGGTCTAAAACATATTAAATATAAAAATAATGGATGTCATAAGTGGGTAATAGTTAGTGACAGCATGAGTGTTTTAGAAAATCTTAAAAACAATAAGTTCAATGCTAACACAAACTATCTTATATTTTCGATTAAACAACTTTGGTTAGACTTGAACATTATGGATAATATTCAAGTATCATTTGTTTGGGTTCCTTCACACATTGGTGTGGTAGGAAATGAAAAAGTTGACTTTTTGGCAAGGTTTATAACCAATTCTTCAATAATCCCTGATTCCAGCAATAGCCTTAATATAACTGTTCCAAATAATGACATAATTTTTCTTTTAAAAAATAGATCCACTAATTCGTGGAAAAAACATTGGAATTTTAAAGTCCAAATAGAAAACAAAGGTTTATGGTATGCTTCTTTTAACGTTCCTGTAAATTCTACACCTTGGTTCTGCAAAAGTAACACTTACTTTAACAGGAAATTTTATACAACTATCCTGAGGCTTCGTTTCGGTCACTGTAGTCTAAAATACCATCTTTATCGTCTAAATATAGTACAAAGTCCCTTTTGCGATCGTTGTGACACTCAAACAGAGCAGTCTTTGGACCACATATTCTTTGAATGCCCATCCTTTGGCATTCAGCGCCTTGTGCTAATGGATGAGCTGATTGAGATTTATAAAAGTCCGGAACGGGTACCGCGCTCTACTTCAAATCTGCTCGTAAATACCTCCACATTTCTACCTTTGTTTAAATTTGTAGATAGCACAATTGGGCAAATATAGGTGTACATAGTTTAGGGTAATTTTTACGTGTCTTTGTTGTATTTAGTCACTTTTTTCTTCTTTTTTATCCTATTTCGATTTTTTTTTTTTGAGAATGAAGTCTCGAATGCACAGAACAGATAAAAAGGTTAGAATGATAACGTACTAACATTAGTACTAGGACCGCGCGTGCCAGATATCACACAGACGTAAAACTTCACCTATTCAGCTCACAAAGAAAGCGATGCTTCCATTGGCTACAAAAGTTTCAGCAAAATTAGTATATACTAGCTTATTAATACAGGTGATTTTACAGTAATACACAAAATGTATGGCTAGCTATAATAAAAATTTGCACAATTACTTTTGTTAGTTCTAAACATTATATTTTGTGCGCGGATATTAAATTAGTTAATGTGTAAACATTTGAAATACATGTTTCATTACATAAAAATGTTATTGCACGACGTATCTGCATTAAAACAATTTTTCAAAATATAATGCAAAGAATTTTACGCTTCTGTCAACACTGAAATAGTGAAATGCCCTGTGATTCACAATTTGATATCGATAATCAGAAAATCATTGATATATTGGGTTAATATCCTATTAATATTATAAAGGCGAAAGTTTGTAAGTATGGATGTATGGATGTTTGTTACTCTTTCACGAAAAAACTACTGGACGGATTTGGATAAAACTTTACAGCAATATAGGTTATACATCAGAATAACACATAGGGTACTTTTTACTGGGAAAACTTCTCACTCCCACAGGATACCGACTTCCACGCGGACGAAGTCGCGGGCGTCCACTAGTGATAAAATAATTTATTAATTTATCATTTCGCATATTCACGAAAAAAATCCAATGAAAATAAATACCATATGTATGTAATCACTTCACAATGATTGTAATCAACTTTCACTTGAAACGGATCGATCAATTAGACCAATTCCTATCTTGCTAAAGTAGCAATGTAACTGCGATTTTTGTCAGTTTTAATCAGAAGTAGGCTGCAACGGGGTCACATATCAAGAGCAGGCGACAGTGATGATAATTTGGCCCTTTGGGCGCTAGATTTTTATAATTTGAATTAGCCTTTTTTCTATTATATAGTCATAGTTTTATTTTTTGATACCTAGCTAATTTTTTTTTGTATATTTAATGATTCATATTTTTTTACTAACTAGGTATTATATGAAGCACAATATATTAAGAATGGAAAATAATAACAAAGATGTCTCATTGAAACTATATTTCAATAATATCCCAATATAACATTTAATTTCACAATATCATCAGAAAATAAGTTGTAATACATAATATTTCATTATAAATTTGTAAGTAATTTATCATATTATTTAATATTAATGAAATCATTTACAGAAAAATATGTTGAACAAATGTAACTAGTTTTAGAAGGAAACCATTGACCATTTCTATCACGCGTCAATCCACTTTTCTTTTATGTCGGGGTTTCTAGGAAAACTGAAACATACAATACAAAACTCTTTATTGTTCACATTACACAATGAATTACAAAATTTAATAGTAAATTAACACTATTAATTTAATAGTAAATTAGTAGCAAAAACATACAAATCTCTAAAAAAATTCTGTTAACTATTTATCTTAATAGATTTAATGTTATAATTGCATGTAAATTGATTGCCATTCATAATATTAGGGTTAAGTACTATCGATAGCATTTTATCGATATCTGCAAGCACTATGTTAACAACTGACACAATCTCACGGAAAAAAAAATGTGATTATATCTCGATATACTGTTATATATCCAATATTTTTTACATACCGATGAAATGAAATTTCTCCTTTTTTCAGAATTACATTTTCATTACGCAAACGACTCGTAATAACGGCATTATTCGGCATATTTTCGTATTTTTCGACGCACCATAGACCACTATGACATTGTGCAAATAATAAACTAGAAATTTGAGTAACATGACGTTCATATGACCGTTTTGGGCATATGGATGGTCGCACGACCCCGCCCACTTAATCGTTCTACCTTTTTATCTGTTCTGTGCTCGAATGCATAGGTATTATTTGGTTGATGTCAATATGAAACGGGAAGTAACTTTTGTTTGTTGATGTTGTAAGTCAAAGAATAATTCAATGGGTCTTTGAAATTTTTTGAAACGTATTTTTATTGTAATTTTGTTTTTATACTGAAGAAGTTTAATATCATTTTTATAAAGTGAAGACTTAACGTCATTTTTCAATACTAAGAAATACAATTCAACCAATGACGAGGCAGTATGGTCTATGATCTTAGCCTGTTCCGAAAGGAACGAATAATTGAAAAAAAAAAAAAAAAGTAATAACAAAGTATTCATTGTTCTACATTACGTGATTCAATTCATTTAAATAGTGTATGCAACATGAAAAAGATCAATAAAAAAATTCCAGGCTTACTACCACCTCCTCCAAAATCTGAAATAGACGGCCGGATCACCGATTTATCACATAAAACTATTCCTGAACTTCTTGATTTGCGTGACCGCCAATTAAAATTGTTAAATAACAAATCTTTCATAACAAAATTAGCTGATAAAGGAGCGAAAATACAATTATTTCACGATAAAATTGCAGCTGTTCTGAAAGCAAAGCAAGAGGAAGATCATACATGTCGTTTATTCAGCGATATGAAATTGAATCCGATTGAACAAGAAGCTGTGCAAAACGTCGAATGGGAAGGTAAAATAAATAATAAGGAAGACTCTTGCTTAGATTCTGATGATGACAGTGATCCTGAAGATGTTATGCACATATTGAGTCAAAGCACAGCTACAGAGAAAAAAGTTAAAGTATTGCAAGCTGAAAAACCTTCTATAACTGTTGACGATTTGATAAAAATTGGTGATGTCCCTCATGTGAAATATCTGGTGGAGAAAACAGAATCAAAGTGTAAATCAAAAGACAAGGGGCTGTTTAAACCATTCAAAACAACAAAATCTGATGTCCATGATCCAGCAAAAGAAGTTCACAGGAAGAAACACACTAAATGGGAAGTGACTGCAGCAACACCTCCACCAATAATTCACGGCCCAGCAAAGTTACTGCCATTGGAAGAATCTTTGGAGCTTCAAAAGCAATACAATATTCATTTAAAGGAGATTGAAGCACACCACGCTGCTGAAAAGTTAATGACACGTGTTGGAATGAAAATGCCAGAACTTCCTTCTGATACAACCAAGTTTGGTACATATAGGGATCTTAATAGTGATGATTCGGAGACGTCTGACGTTGAAGGAAGCGATAAAGAGGTGCATGATGAAGAACCTGAAAGGGGTGGTGTACTATTCACTGTGATGAAATGATCACATTTAATTGTATCTTATTAGTCTTCATTCATCAAGCCCAGACACAATTGATTGAGACAATGTTAGCATTAAAATAATTATTAAGGACTGATGGGATTATAGATTGATTCATAAGTTTTTATTAACTATAAATAGGGTCTTTATTATCATATACCTACTCCTGTTGAAATATTTGTTCAGTTATGATAATAATTACCTAATTTATTATACTAGAAAAAGAACAAAACATATGTGTTCATGTTATGCCCAGTAAAATAGGATTTCTACTGATAAAAGGATGTTAAAATGTGTTGAAATAAATCTATATTTTTTTTATTTGTATTTTTTTATATCATTTTATTTTTTATGGCATATATATTCACAAATCAAAAAAGATTATATACCTACTATTTAGAATATAATATTTATTCACGACTCGAAACCCTATGATTAATACAATAAATACTAATTTGGTATGACTCATTCGCCTTGAACCAAAGTAAGTGTATGCGCACACGCAACTTGTGATGTTTTGTTTTGTTATTGTGCATCGACTTTTTATTTATTCTGTGGCATCGACCAATACTACGGAGCGGTGGAACAGTACGTTCCTTTTTTAAATTCAAACTACATATTCAGAATTGCTCTGTCACTCGCGCGCGCCGCACGTTCAGTATCGTGCACGCTTCTAAAAGTTTTAGTATAAATCGTTAGTCGTAAAGTGATAATGGCACCGGTTTCAAACACCGTCGTCGGGATAGATGACGATCAACGGTTTGCTCTCATGAAGGTAATGTAATATATTTACTTGTATTTATTTTCCATTATTCGAAACTAAAAGTAACAACAATAGTAGTTAAGTTTACAATTACTCCATGTCAAAGATTACAATATTATCTCCATGTAGTAATAAAATTACAGAGATCTGAGTTTTGGTTTTTGATTTATCATAAACGTGTATACTTCAGGCAGCTTTGAATGTACTTTCACAATATGCCTTGATTTCTTGAGGATTATATGAGTCTTATATCTGCATATAAGCCCGGAAAAGGGCCTACTTTATAAGTCTACCCTTGCTTACAGCGCGATTATATTAGGCCGCAGTCGTCCTACTTTTGATTAAATGGCTCCTATATAGGGATTACGCAAGTGTAATTTTACATGAAAATGTCAATTTAAATCCACTATAGTAAAAAGTGAGACTAGCTATGCCTCTACTAAATATGCACCTAGTGTTAAAGAAATTAAAAAGTTTGAGCAAAGGTAAGTAGTAATTATTAATATGATAACTAGAAATATTGTCAACCATAGTAGAAAAACATATTCTATTGATCTTAGTATTTGAGTTGTCTGTTTGCTGGGGAATGTGAATTTTCTGTGAACCTTTTCTTAGTTTCGATTAAAATTTTAAAGCGCCTCTTAAAAATGGCTTTTTAACACTTTTTGTATTCATTTATTTATCGACAAATTTTAATGGCTGATCGCAAATTCTATAGTAAGATTTGGGAAACCATTCACATCGTGTTTTCGACTATATCGGTTGTTTCCAGAAAAAGGCCTTTAAAGAGTTCTAGCCAGGATTGTTTGAAGATTTCTTAGACAATAGCACTACTATGAACAGTGGCGTAGCTAGGTAACCTAAGGCCCTGGGGCAAATAAAAAAATAGGGCCCACTGCTATCAAAACTGGTAAGGTTTTTTGAAGTAAAATCATTAAATATACAAATACTTTAAAAATGCTAAGCAACTTTATTATCAGCTCTTATTCGTGCATGGGCAGGTAATAAAACTATTAAACATTACTAACACTGTCAACCCACACAAATGATTTAGAGGAATTCCCTTTTTATAACTTTGGAATTTCTCACAACTGAGTTGCCATGATTAAATTCGAGTTGTCACCTGTCATATTTATTTTGAAAATGGGAGAAATTTTCCAAAGTTGAGTTCGATTGAGATATTCTGGTAAAGATTCGAGGGCCCCCTGAGCTTGAGGGCCCCGGGGCACTGCCCCGCCTAGCCACTTGGTAGCTACGCCACTGACTATGAAATACACATATAAATCTACCTAGGCTTATATAGGCATTTGACAAACCCATATAAAGTGCATTTTTGCCTAGCGAGTCCTGATATAAGCTTTTCAGAATTCGTGAGATCGTATTAAGCTTGTTTTTTCTTATATTGGTGATTTAGAGCGAAAATGGCCTTATAAGGGTTCTAGTCAGAATTATTCACGTTTTCTTAGATTATAACACTACTGTGGAATGCCTGTATAAATCTACCTTGGCTTATATCGGCATATGATTTTCCGGATTTCTGGATTCGTGAGACCGTATTAGGCTCGCTTTTGCTTATATAGGTTATTTCGATCAAAAGTAGCCTTTTAAGAGTTCTGACCACGATTATTCGAGATTTCATCGATTAAAGCGTTACTATGGATTAAAATTCCATTGGAAGTTAATATTAATTACAGACTTTAAATATAAATGCTATTTAGTAGTTTAACTTGAATTGACTTATAAAGGCCACAAAAATATTGCTTATATGAGCAAGAATATAAGTAAGACTAATAAAAATAGTGATTGTTCCTCAGTGTACATTTTCTTCGAATATGCTCATATGTTTTATGCGTTGTCTTATATGCGCACATAAGTCTGAGTTATCGGAGTTGTTTCTCTTGAGAGTAATTACTCTTAATACATGCTCTTATAAGAGCTTTTGTCCAGTAGTAGCCATGAATTGTGATCCTATATACTGATATAAGTCCATATTGTAGGAGTAAGCGTACTTGAGTAAAGACAGGATTCACATATGCTGATATAAGTGCAGTGGCATATCTGAAATCTGAAACCATTATAGTAGCCATATAAGTCCAAACAGGATTATTAAATCACATGCTAGGATTATTTTGTTTGTCGGGTTATTATATTAATATTTTGTTGCTAAGCATACCCCATGGTGTTATACATAAGCAGTCCCTGAAAAATCTGTTAAATAAAAAGGTAGTTTCTAGCTTTGCTTGTTTATTTGTAGAAGATACTCTAGTAACTTAATTCTAATTGTGGAGATGGGTGACGCAATGAAAAGCTGGTAGAATTCTTCAGACTTGATTTTATTTTCAATAAACATACATCGAATCACTTATAACGAAATACTATGATACTCACTCTATGCTGGTCGGATACGAACATGATTAAGTAATAATTTAAAATATTAACGGCCAGCATTGACCATAAACCGTCCGAAGAATAAACCTACCTATAGTAATGTGCACGGACGTTACATGCCCGGGCTAGGGAGCGTCTTCACACGCTCTTATATTTTTGTTTAGGGAAACAAAAATATAAGAGCGTGTGAAGACGCTCAAAGAAGTCTAAACCTTAAGTCCTACCAGCTTGAGGAACTTATAGTAGGCGGTTTTTACTAATAAACCAGCTCCTGCAATGAGATTCCAATTTACTACACTATTGTTCAAAGACTTCTTAGGGAATTCTTCATATTGCAGAAACTCTACAAGTGCAAAACCTCAATAAAAGCACCTTCCCCCCCCCCCCCCATGTCTAGAATCATCAAAACCCTAAGTTTGATATTTGATGACGTCAAAACCCAAACACAACAAACTATATTTTAAACACAGCTATCATATGATATTCCCGATTCCCGTAGTTAAAATCAATCAAATCGAATCAATTATAGTTAATATCCAACCCAAAATAATAAACACAAACGGACATGGCCAATGACAATGTGTATATCTTATAAGAATCCATGATAAATCATTGACACCCATGAGACAACAAATTGACATATCGCCCATGAAGAGTCAATACATAATAACTGATATTTTGTCAATTTTTGTTTTATTGAATTATTCGTTGTAAAATAGATAACTACACAAGAGTGAAAACAATCACTCTTATGACTTAAGATCGAAAAACAATCTTATGATAGATCCCATTATTCCAAATAGTTGTATAAAAGCAGCTTTCTTGATTTTTTAGCATTGCGCACCTTTTAGCTCTATAAAAATGTCGACTAAACGTGGACTCGACGAGTTCATATCGCATTTACTCGATATTTGTATAAAGGTATATCATGATCGCCTTCATTCAACCATTAGCCTAATGATAACTCTTTAAAAGCTACTGAATTGCTAATTTGTCATCAAACTAGCTTTTATAGAACTATCTTTCCACATTTGATTATTACAACATTATTGTAGAGTAAAAGCTGTTTATTAGACAAAATAGCATTTCATTTACTATATCAGGACTTAAGGTCATATGATTGCTTGTTACTCAGCTTTCATTCTGCTTAACTATCGATGTTGAGTAAAAGCTTTCAAATTATCTCTCATAGCTTTAAAGGTTCTCTAAATACTGTTTGAAAGCCTTTATTCAGCGTAATAGTGGTATAAAAATGAAACAAAATCTTTAATAGCACTGTTTTTTTTTGGATCTCCATACAAAACAATAATATCTGTTTATTCTTGGAAAAATGGATTATAAAAGGTGGAAAAAAATTAAGAGAAGTGGAGGTTTTAGACGAAAAGTAAGCAAGATATATGCACAATTGAAACAATCAACATTTACATTGACTGCAACCACGGGTGAAGTACAATCAAATAATATTAGTATGGGTTCCGTAGAAAAAAATAATGTTACGATTGATGATGAAATTGCTGAAACGTCAACTAGTGAAGTATTTCCTCGTTCTAAAAACATCTCCGCTGGTGATAATAAAAATGACGATAATACAATGACAGTTCGGAGTTCGAAGACGATGATCATATAAATGATGAGTTTTGGGCAAATATTAAAGAATGGGCACTCCAATTCAATATACCGCATGATGCCTTACGAAAATTGTCAACAATATGTAATAAAAGAATTCCATATTTGCTGCCAAGAGATCCTCGTACTATTTTGAAAAAGAAATTATCAAAGATTAAAATATTTGCTGTTGGCTCTGGATTATACTGGCTTAACAGATAAAAAGAACTTTTACAATTTTTTTTTCCAATAATTGATTTCAATTTTGATGTTTTAAGTATATTTATACACATTGACGGCCTGCCAGTATATAATAGCTCAAAACTCCAATTTTGGCTAATATTGTGTA